CTGGGGGATGTGCCCTGCAAACCAAGGTACATGCCCCTTGACCGGAATCAAACCTGGGACCCTTGAGTCCGCAAGCTGACGCTCTATCCACTGAGCCAAACCGGTCAGGGCCCACATTTTCTTTATCCATTCATCTATCAGTGGACACTTAGGTTGCTTCCATATCTTGGCTATTGTGAATAATGCTGCAGTAAACATGGGGGTGCACGTCTCTTTTCAAGGATAAGCATTCTTTTTTTTCCCCTAATCCTCACCCAAGGATATCTTTCCATTGATTTTTAGAGAGAGTGGAAGGGAGGGGGAGAGACAGAGAAACATCAATGTGAGAGAGACACATTGACACATTGAGTGGCTGCCTCTTGCAGGAGCCCCGACCAGAGTTGGGGATCAAGCCTGCAACTGAGGTACCTGCCCTTGACCGGAATCGAACCTGGGACCCTTGAGTCCGCAGGCCGACGCTCTATCCACTGAGCCAAACTGGTTACAGCAGGATAGCATTCTTGATTGCCACCCATGGCTTTCAGCCTATGAAGACACAAATGAGCCCCAGTACAAGTGCCACAGTCACTGCAGAGGTCAGGCATGCAATGTGCATCTTTTCACGCTGGCGAGGGAAAAGTCACTCTGGTAGAGGACCGAACATATTGGTGACAGTTCAGAAACTGGTAGCTGCATATTCAGAAATACAAGAACTGCCCACCCCCGATGACCACGAGGCTGTCGGAATCGTAGCACTTCCTCGCCCTTTCATTCACTGAATGAACTAAGACTGAGGCAGGGAACATGACCATGTATGAATGGACTTTAGGTAGGTGTTACTAGGAATACCCCATAGTAATACAGGGTATCCCACAAAATGTATACGCACTGTAACAGCTGGCAGCTGTTTTGAAAATGAAATGTAGGTTAATAAACACTGCCTGTATAATTATTCAGTAAGTGGATACATTTTGGGGGGGACACCCTATATACAATCCCAGTTCAATCCCCCACCCCGTTTGTTAATACTTTGCCCATCGTACACTAGTTTGATGATTCCGAATAGTGCTGTTTCCGTAGACAACAGGCTGAGTTTCAGGCCTGGAGAAGATCCAAAATGAATTTCAAGTTATAAATGAAACCTCCTATGGGATCAGAGAAGTATTGATCCCTGAATATGCTCACGTGTCATCTAGACACAAGCAGCTGTGAAAGCTGGTCGGCTGGTCTTTCCCAGGAGTGCTGGGGGTAGAAACTGCTGATCTGATCAGGTTTGCTTGATAGTTTTAGAGGTGGTTTTTCTCAAGGAATGCAGTTGCCCTATAAAAGGGGTGCCTGCCTAAGGCTCAAGTTTTGTTTCTAGTTACAATGTGTTTCTAATGCCCTATCCTGTGCTTATAAAAATGCCAACAGTAATCCTTCTCCTTAGTACAGGCAGACCTCGCTTTCTCGCCATTTGCTTTATTGCGCTCCACAGGTTTTGCACTTTTTCCCCAAATTGAAAGCAAGACCCTCTCCCTGTCACTTTGGGATTCTCGGTGATTGCAGTGGTGGGGAACCAAGCCCGCAGGACCTCTGAGGTGTGCCTGTAGGGATGTCATTAGCGGATGAGAAGGTGGCTGCCTCTCGCAGGGCAGCTGTAGCATCGTTTCCATAAAGGTTAGAAGACATTGCCGAAACCGGTTTGGCTCAGTGGATAGAGTGTCGGCTTGCAGACTGAAGGGTCTCAGGTTCGATTCCGGTCAAGGGCATGTACCTGGATTGCAGGCACATCCCCAGTAGGAGATGTGCAGGAGGCGGCTGATCGATGTTTCTCTCTCATCGATGTTTCTAACTCTCTATCTCTCTCCCTTCCTCTCTGTAAAAAATCAATAAAATATATTAAAAAAAAAAAAGACATGATTGTGCCCTAACCGGTTTGGCTCAGTGGATAGAGCATCGGCCTGCGGACTGAAGGGTCCCAGGTTCGATTCCGGTCAAGGGCATGTACCTTGGTTGCGGGCACATCCTCAGTAGAGGGTGTGCAGTAGGCAGCTGATCGATGTTTCTCTCTCATCAATGTTTCTAACTCTCTATCTCTCTCCCTTCCTCTCTGTAAAAAATCAATAAAATATATTAAAAAAAAAGAAGACATGATTGTTAAGTGTAAAGTTACTCTTAAGAAATTTGGAAACCTGTTCACTATCAGCTTTATTTGATTTTAAAATATACAAATATTCTGAAAGGTCGAAAAGCTTAAGGTTGTTAGATTTAAAACACCCCACACAAAGCTGTCACAACAAAGACATTCATGGCAAATTAGTCACTCCAGTCTGCTAATTCCTTCTACTAATGGAACAATCCAGTATTTAGGAGAAATGCAAGGACTTAATATTATCAACTCAAAACCAGACCAAACCCAATAGTCATTGTTACATGCTGCTGCTCTAAGAGGAACCACCAGTGTATGGATTACTGGAACCAAGAATTTCAATGGGAGAGAATTTCCCTGAACACGAAACAAAACAGGGCCATGTTTAGAAAGGAACCAGGGCTAACGCTGCACCTCCAGCCAGACCTTCAAGGCTCAGAGGAGGCCGAATGCAGAGAAGGCTCCAGGCAGCAGGAATGGGAAAACTTGTCAAAACCAAGGGACAGTGAGACCTGCCTGTTGGGAGCAGTTCCACCTCAGAACAATGGGGATGGAGATGAAAATGAAACAGCGGAAACACATTCCCCTGCACGTGCGCCCTCAGACCACGGTGGCATTGAAAGGATTCTGTAAGGAGGCCAGGTCTGAACAATTCCCATGAGAACGTGGGGAGCCAAGACACACTTGAGTTTTGCTGAGTGCACTTCCGGGGTCACGACCATATTGTAGGGCAGCGGTTCTCAACCTATGGGTCTCGATCCCTTTGGGGGTCCAACGACCCTTTCACAGGGGTCGCCTAAGACCATCGGAAAACACATCTATAATTACATACTGTTTTTGTGAGTCATCACTATGCTTTAATGATGTTCAATTTGTAACAATGAAATTGGGGGTCACCACAACATGAGGAGCTGTATTAAAGGGTCGCGGCCTGAGGAAGGTTGAGAACCGCTGTCGTAGGGCCTTGAGAACTGCTGGTGACTCTTTAAGAGCTGCACAGCCTATGGGTTTTCAGGTCTCAAGTTGTCAAGAGAAAACAGTAAGACAAGAAGCGGCTCTCTTCATATTTTAAGGGAAGTTCTTTTTTAAGAGGTGGCTCAGACTTTTCTAGATTAAACACACAGGCAATACTGCAGTTAAAGGGAAAACGAAGGGACTTCTTCCCACTTGTGCTAAGTGGGAAGGAAACATAACATGACCTGCAATCAAGGGTGGGGTGAAAACAGAGCTCCAAAGAGCGCGTGCATACTACCCTTTGCCAAGTGAAGTTCAAGGTCATGACCCACTCGACCCTCCCAGTACATCACGAGTGCAATTCAGTTTAGGGAAAAGAGTTTAATGTAGCCTTCAGAAAAAAAAAATAGTTGGTATTTCCCCGTCTCTAACAAAGCACTGGCTATGAGGTCCAGCGCCACCAGGCGACCTTCATCCTGTCCCACACCGCCGACAGCGAGTCGAAGGCGGGCCGCACGTCCAGGATGGTGAACTGGTACTCCTGGTTGACCTCGCCGCCGTCGTAGTAGTCAATGATGTATCTGACTTCCGTGCCACAGCGGTTGACAATCCAGTCGTGCCTGTCGAAAGGCAACTCGTACCTGGAATGAGGACATGCTGGTGAGTGTCAGCCCGCTCGCCGGCCCCGGAGCAGCGTGGCAAGGCCTGCTCTCGGGCAAACATCTCACTGGGGAAGGGAGACTCGTCACAGCCCACAGCACCCAACAAAGGCGGGGCTGAGGATGTGCAATGGGCCCAGCTCACACGCCGGCCAGTCTGTCCACCCAGGAATCAGGCCCCCCGGACAGAGAGCCAGCAGGGTGAGGGGTTGGGTTCTCTGGCTGTGCTGGGAGAGAAGGGAGAAAGCCAAGTGCAGAGATGCAAGGAGGAGTCGGAGGACAGCTCGGGTCGATCCTGCGATAAGGAGATGGGGAGCAACCAGGCCACACGAGTGAATCCGCCCCCACCTGGACGAAACCCACAGATGCACATGGGCTACATCTTGGAAGATGGCCCCACAGTTCTGGGTTCCGGTCCATGGAGAAGGGACCCTCACACGGAGTGCAGTCCCTTCCCGCCCACACTCACCCCATCCAGGAGCGGATCCTTGCCCGTGGGGAGTACTCCTTGGCTTTCCCTCCGAACCGGACCAACGAGGGACCACAGGGACACTCCCTAGGAAAGCCCCAAATTAGACAAGTCTGTGAAAAGAGCTTCTTTCCTTTGAAAACTATGATGTTGCATGTCCTCAATGATATACAGTTTTCTGAAGGCATTTTACACAGTCTCACATTCTCTAAGAAAGCTCACTGCCCAATTCAAACCAATAGCCCTAGTCCTTCAAAAAGCTGCTCTCCGTTTCTGGATCGGGTATGTTCCCCTCCCTCCACTTCCTTCCGAATAGCTGCCCTGTTCTCCGCAGGAGTCCGGGGCCAGGGCCTTTGCATTTGGTGTGGGGACACAGGCATGTTCTTGGGGGACAAGGGAGGGTGGAGTATTGGGCATCTCGCTTCTCTTTCGCATAGAGCAGCCGGCATAACTTTGCAGACGAACATAACAAAACCCTACACGCTTTTTGGGTTTGATACCAATGAATGGCCTTCATGAAGAAGGAAAATGCTAGATAAATCCCTAGGAACTCATGTACTTGGTGTCGGACCAGCTCCTTAAGGAAGCAACCGCACACAGGACGGGTGGCGAGGTCCTGGCTAGAAAAATCCGCTCACTCTCCGCACAGCCTTGGTGAGGACTTCCTGGGTGCCGGCTGGCCCGCTCCCAGGCGCAGGGAGTTGGGGGGCAGCATCACGTAAGGCCGCCCGAGTCCTGCACTGGCTGAGCTCACGGTCAGCCTTCTCCGCCAGAAAAAGGCCTGCACTCTAAGACATCTTGAGGCGTTAGGCCTGCTGGGGGCTCAGTAAATGCTGCTGAGTGAGCATCTCCTAGGGCCAGTGGTCGGCAAACTGTGGCTCGCGAGCCACATGCGGCTCTTTGGCCCCTTGAGTGTGGCTCTTCCACGAAATACCACGTGCGGGCGTGCACGTACAGTGCAATTGACACTTCGTGGCCCATGCGCAGAAGTCAGTATTTTGTGGAAGAGCCACACTCAAGGGGCCAAAGAGCCACATGTGGCTCGCGAGCCGCAGTTTGCGACCACTGTCCTAGGGGCAGAGAGCAATATAGTGTCCCGTGTCCCCCTGCTCTGCTTTCAATGGACTGACACTCCTCCCGTTGAGAGGCAGGGTCTCTGACGCCCCGCCCCCCCCAAACCTGGGCAGGCAGGTGATGGCCCAGGGCTTCCGAGGCCACATCATCAGAGCAGATGCAGCGTCCACGGGAGCTTTCTGTACTCCAGCTCTGGGAACCCAGCCTCCAGCGTGAGGAAGCCGAAGCGGCCACGGTCAGAGGCTGTGGGCAGGGGTCGTGGCTGACAGCCAGTGTCCCTCACCAGCAAAGGAATTGGATTCCGGAGATTCCAGCCCACGACTGTCAAGCCAGCCCTGAGCACTGAGTGATGGCGGGTGAGGCCCAGATACCGGGGAGCAGAGACCAGCCGTCCCTACTCCCTTTCTGCACCCGGGACCCACGGAATCCAGGAGCATAAGGACATGGATTTACAAGGTTGCATGGAGGGGGGGTCTGCCGCACCAGGGTCACTGGAACAGGCCTGCGACCCAAACTATTTCATGCAAATGACACATCTGAAAGAATGTTAAAACCCTGGGTCCAAAACAAGAAAGATGCTGGAAGGATGTTTTGTTGTTGTTGTTAATCCTCATCCAAGGATATTTTCCCACTCATTTCTAGGGAGACTGGAAGAGAGAGGGAAAGACAGAGAAACATCGATTGGTTGCCTCCTACACGAGCCCTGACCAGGGCCCGGGCCGGGGAGGAGCCTGCAACCGAGGTACATGCCCTTGACCGGAATTGAACCCGGGACCCTTTGGTCCGTAGGCCGACGCTCTATCCATTGAGCAACACCGGCTAGGGCTGGGAGGGTTTTTGTAAGATCTCAAACATACTTACGCAGCATGAAGGGCTTCCCACTTCAAAATCTCCTTCCATGCCTGCTCGTTGTTCTGGTTGTGGATCTTGATGATGTTGTACATGTCCTTCTGGCTGATGTCGTCATCCTTCCACTTCCACCTGGGAAAGAAAGTCGGCAAGATCGGACCAGCCTCCTATCTCTCCGGACACACACACCCTAGTCCCGTGGTCGGCAAACTGCAGCTCTCGAGCCACATGCGGCTCTTTGGCCCCTTGAGTGTGGCTCTTCCTAAGCCTTAGGAGCACCCTAATGAAGTGAATAACAATGTACCTGCCTGTATAGTTTAAGTTTAAAAAATGTGGCTCTCAAAAGAAATTTCAATCGCTGTACTGTTGGTATTTGGCTCTGTTGGCTAATGAGTTTGCCAACCACTGCCCTAGTCTGCTTCGCCTTGCACTATCTTCTGATAAGCCTGAACGTTATTCGAAACAAATTACCTTTTGAAATAAAAACTTATTGTTCATCTGGAGGCTAAAATCCTCTTTGGCATTTATTCTTAGATAAATGTAACAAGTGAATTTCTGTTCTCAGGACGAGGCCCCCTCGCTTACCCTTTCTTTAGCATCGCGTTCCAGAACATCTGCTCGGAAGGGTAAACCCACTTTTTCTCGGAATCTGCTCTTGGAATGGAGGACTCCTCCCTCACAGTGGAGAGCGCGAACGGCTGGTCAGGGGCCGGTGTCTGATTAGGTGGTGGCATCTGAATAGAACAAGCAGAACCGCTTTGAAATGTTGGAAATGTGATAGAGAGCAGAGACAAGCACTGTAATGAACCACTTCCTGGAAAGCAACGCATTGCACGCGACACAGGTTCTCTTTCAAACCACTGGCAGCAAAATTTCAGCCCTATCAGACCATTTCCCTTGCTGTTCAAGTTCTCATAAACGGTAAATACACCTTGTGGGTATATTCTTGGTCTTTTTCTCCTCAAGGATGAAGAAGTAAAAACTGCCTGGGCCAGTGCGCTCAGTGGTTAGAGCACCGGCTGACGCACTGAAGGGTCACGGGTTTGATTCCCAGTCAACGGCATGTACCTTCATTTCAGGTTCAATGCCAACCCCCCCCTCCCTGCCCCCCCTCCCTCCCACTCTGAAAAGCAATCCTCCTGTGAGGATTAACGGAAAAAAAAAAAAAAAAGGAGTAACGACAAATACCATGATCAGCGGGCATTTCAGAAAACCTTTCTAGGGCGGGCTTAATAAAAATGACTGTGCATTCTTCTGAGGAAGTCTGATAGGATGCCTGTACAGCACCACTTCCTGTTAAAGAAGTTTACTTTTCGGATCTTGCTGATGCTTTCAGCCTTTGGGGTGAGTACGTTGCCGATGAGGGGTGACGTCCCCACACTGGCAGACCGGAGGGAGGCGAAGGATGTTTCCTCCCAGACACGGCGGCAGCAACACGCAAGCACTGAGCCCGGACCAGGGCTTCCCACTCTCTCTACTACCGCCGCTTGGGGCCGCACAACACTTGGTTATCGGGCTCTGTTCTGAGCATAGTAGGATCTTTAGCAACATCTCTGACCTCAACCCAAGAGTACCCCACTTCCCCAGTCGTGACAACCAATGTTCCCCCCCCGGGGGCACCCCAGGTTGAGAACCACTGGCCAAGAACTTCTTTTTGTAGTGAAAGTGTGAAGGATTGCCTAGCGGGTGCACAGGAATTATTATTATGATTAAGTCACAACACAGCCCCTGGTTAGAAAGATGGCAGGAGAAGAGCTGGGCGTGCTAGAACCACACTGGGCATCTTACCTCTTTTCACTACGGTGTGTTTAAAATCCCAGGTGGAAAAAAAAGAAAAAGGCCCGGCCGGTGTGGCTCAGTGGTTGAGCATTGACCTATGAACCAGGAGGTCACGGTTCGATTCCTGGTCAGGGCACATGCCCAGGTTGCAGGCTCGATCCCGTGTGGGGCGTGCAGGAGGCAGCCGACCCATGATTCTCTCATCATTGATGTTTCTCTCTCCCCCTCTCTGAAATCAATAAAAATACATTTAAAAAAAGTTCCAGGAAGGAGCCGAGTGCGGATTACCAGATTAGAAGGATCTAGGTTCTGCCTTTCCGAAGTGGCGCCCGTAACAGGGCACTCCACATACTCGTAGGCGCGGTCTTGGTGGGCAGGCCCAGAGCTGGGTTTCTTCTCGCACGTGGGGTCAGATGGCTCTCCACTCACCGGACAGCCTGAGAGAAATCAAGGATAAAAACGGTGTTACCACAAAGGCAGGGCACCTGGCTCCCCAGGCTGGGCCCTAAAGAGTTGACTTGCTGCCCTAACCGGTTTGGCTCAGTGGATAGAGCGTCGGCCTGCGGACTGAGGGTCCCAGGTTCGATTCCGGTCAAGGGCATGTACCTTGGTTTCGGGCACATCCCCAGTAGGGAGTGTGCATGAGGCAGCTGATTGATGTTTCTCTCTCATCGATGTTTCTCTCTATCCCTCTCCCTTCCTCTCTGTAAAAAAATCAATAAAATATATTTTAAAAAAAAGAGCTGACTTGCTGACCAGCGATGACCACAGGCAGAGCCAGGTGGCGGCCGCTGAAAGCTGCCCACGGCCACGCTAGCTAGCTTCCTGATATCCTAAAGGCCAGGACAGGGTTCTCCAAGTTTACTTTCCCTTTGAAAGAGAAATGGGTACCCCTTCTCTTCTTGGGTCATGCCCTTAGCAAAAATACCGCCCCCCCCCAAAAAAATCTCAACATTTTCAAATTTCATGGTTTCAGTAATGGGCTAGAACGGTGGTTTTCAACCTTCTGGCCCTTTAAATACAGTTCCTCATGTTGTGACCCAACCATAAAATGATTTTCGTTGCCACTTCATAACTGTCATGTTGCTACTGTTATGAATCGTCATGTAAATATCTGATATGCAGGATGGTCTTAGGCGACTCCTGTGAAAGGGTTGTTCGACCCTCAAAGGGGTCGTGACCCACAGGTTGAGAACCGCTGGTTTACGTTTTTCATGTTACATAACCCACAGCCCCTTCAATCTCCTACACATACCCACATTCTTTAATACAGATAAATCCAACTGGCAGCTCTTCTGGATACACAGCAAAGGAAGTCAAACCAGACAGGGCTGTATCTCCCCGGGGATGCTCAGAGTAGCACTCTCAAGCTGTCTCGATTCTTCCCATTTGGAGAAACCCCGGAAGAGAACTGGATCTGTCCTTGTCCAAGGTCTCAGTTTTCCTGGCTTTGCCACTAATGAGCTGCCGGAGCTCTCAGTTTCCTTAGCTATAAAAAAGGGAGAGCCCTCGCCGGTTTGGCTCAGTGGATAGAGTGTCGGCCTGTGGACTGGATGGTCCGGGATTCGATTCCCATCAAGGGCTTGATCCCCAGTAGGGGGCGTGCAGGAGGCAGCTGATCAATGATTCTCTCATCATTGATGTTTCTATCTCTCTCCCTTCCTCTCTGAAATCAATAAAGATATGTTTTATAATAAATAAAAAAGGGAGAAAACCCACCACACAGGATGATTATGAGGATAAGAACGGAAACTCCATCAAGCAAAGGATTTTTGTCTGTTTCATACGCTGCTGTTCTCTCAGTGCAAAAAAAGTAAGTGAAACCCACCAGTGCTCGGCACAGTGGGCAGTGAGCAAATCCTTGCTGACGGACCAAGGGAATGAAAGGTGAGCACTCGTTAAGTGTACCCTGTTGGCTTTTGCCCTCCTGTCTTGAAGCAGGAAGGCACCCATCAGGCTGGTTCAGGCCCTGCTGTATACAAATGACCTAAAGCAGACGCGCATCAGCTCAAAATGAAAGCTGCTTCGTTTGCACCTGAAGAACGAACAGCAAGTCCATCAGGCGATGAACACTGCCAGGATGCAGGAGTAAAGTTGTCTTTTTTTAAAAATACATTTTTATTGATTTCAGAGATGAAGGGAGAGGGAAAGAGAGAGAAGAGAGAAAGAGGGAGAGGGAGAGGGAGAGAGAGAGACATCAATGATGAGAGAGAATCATTAATAGGTTGCCTCCTGCACACCCCACACTGGGGATGGAGCCCGCAACCCAGGCATGTGCCCTGACTGGGAATCTAACTGTGACCTCCTGGTTCATAGGTCGATGCTCAATCACTGAGCCACACCCTCCAGGCTAATGTTGTCTTGGTGGATAAAGACAGCTAGACCAAGGTTTCCCAAGCACAGCCCTCTTGACATATGGGGCCAGGTGAGTCTTTGTTGAGGGATTGTCCTGTGCACTGTAGGTTGTTCATCAGAACTCCTGGCTTCTACGCACTAGATGTACGTGCCTCTCCTCTCAGTTGTGACAGGCAAAAATGTCTCCAGATGTTGCCAAATGTCCCCTGGGGTGAGCAGGAATCACCGCCCCCCCCCCCCAGTTGAGAACCACAGATATAGACACACGCAAACTTTGGGGGCATTGGGGCTGACGTGTGGAATGAACACTACACTGTCATTCATTCTCTCAATTAATTGTCATAATAACCCTGTGAAGCATATTATGTCTTCATCTTACCATTGATGGGTTGAGAAGTACCTCGTCTACAGTCACATAACTTGTAAGTAGCAACAGAAGGACCCAACCCAGGGAGGCTCACCAACACGCTGTACTGCCTCTTCCCTAAAATCCTTTTGAGGATTCCCTTTTGTTTTTATTTTCTAGACAAAGGATCGAGTACCTTTCATTTTCCCTTCATGCATTGGACATCCTGAAGGCGGGGCTGTAGTCTGGTGAGCTGAAGCATTGGTGGTCTGAACTGCAACAGTCGGGGTGGATGAAGACAAACCCATGGTGGAACCGCTGGGCTGAATCCAAACAATTCTAAATTCACACGTGGCAAAGCAAAGAGAGATTAATGCTGATGTCTGGGTTCCAGCTACTCCCTGGGAATTCTTAATCTGGCCAACTTGTTCTTCATCCTCGCCATCCTTCCGGACACTGCGGGGCAGGGTACCCACTTCCGGCAACAGCTTTAATATATTACCCGCTTTGGGCAATACTAGCTGTGATATGTACACCAGCCTGTGTGGGAACGTTTCTAACGGTGGACGGATTTGGGGGGGGAGGGGGAGGTGAGGAGGTCCCTGAGAAACAATGTCATATCCAGGGGGTTAGGCCGAGGTAGAAGGTCCTTGGCGGTGATCCGACAGGAGAGGGAGGTTTACTGGTGATTGGGTGGGAGACGGGAGGTTTACTCAGGCCAGACTAGAGCCCAGCCCCGGGGTTTGGCGAGCGTTTGTGGGTCTGGGAAAAGTACGGCGCAGAAAAGGGATTCAAGAAGGAAAGGCCGGCAGAGGGCAGGGTGCGGAGTGTCTTCCTCGCACGGTCCCCACGCGTCCCGCCTGCTCCAGCCCCCCACCCCCGCCGGCCGCTCCGCACCTGACTCCCGCCTGGACTGCTCTGCGCGCCGGACCCGCCTCTCGCTTCCAACTCCGGCCCCGAGCGGCCCCCACCTGCCCCTGCCGCCTGCCCCTCGCCCGGTCACCGCGGCCGCCTGGGTCACCGCTGGTAACGGCGTTCGGCGCGACTTCCTTTTCCGAAGGCGGGACTTCCGGGTGTGTGGGAGGTGGAGCGCCTGCTGGAAAGGAAGAGCTTCCGTCAATCACGAAGGAGCGGGCCCCGCCCCCGCCCGCCTCGGCTTATCAGCGCGTGCGCTGCTCTCCGGCCCCGCTCCCGCCCGCCTCGGCCTATCAGCGCGTGCGCTGCGCTCTGGCCCCGCCCCCCAGGCCAGGCACCTTTCTCGCGGAGGCGGAGCTTGTGGGGCGTTGAGCCAGAACCCGAGACTTGCCTAGAGCAGGACTTTCTAGGACAGATGCTTGGAGCGGCCAGGGGGTGCTTGGCAGGAGTTCTCTTGAAAATGTCTATCTTTTTAAGTTGCATCTCGTCAGTTGTAATTATAGTAACGACTCCAGGAGCTTCAGCAGGTGAGAGCGGTGGCAGACCCCGGAGATCCCAAGATGAACCCAACAAGATCCCCCTCCCCAGGCCTTCTGCAAGGGGTGTATGGACTGGAAGGTCTGTATTTTCAGTTACCTCTAGCCCAGTGGTTCTCAACCTTCCTAATGCCGCGACCCTTTAATACAGTTCCTCATGTTGTGGTGGCCCCCAATTTCATTGTTACAAACTGAACATAATGAAAGCATAGTGATTCATCACAAAAACAATATGTAATTATATATGTGTTTTCGGATGGTCTTAGGCGACCCCTGTGAAAGGGTCGTTCGACCCCCAAAGGGGTCGTGACCCACAGGTTGAGAACCACTGCTCTAACAGAAATGGAATGGGTTTCTTTTCCCAGCAGGGATGCAGGCAACAAACCCTAGTGGTATTAGCTCTGCGTGGCACTAAAAGAAATCACAGAGAAATGATGTCACGTGATGGTTGTTTGTGGCTCAAAATACTGTTCATTCCTAACTTTTCCAATTCAGGATAATTTCCTCTTGGTTACATAAAGCCTTTAATCACAATACACATGGTGGTTCTGCGTCCCTGTAATGGAACATGAGGATGGAATGCACCACCATGGAGCTCTGTTAAAGGGTGATTTAAAATTTCTTTTCGAGACCCACGCTTTCTGACCTCCACCCGCCCGCAGTAAGGCAACAGATGATATATACTTATGTGGTGTTACTGCTAAGTGCTCAAAACATACGCAAGTAAAAGGAGATCAGTACAACACTTTTGATCTTCAAAT